GCAGATCACAAGCTGAATATGAGTCAATAATATGATGTGGCTGCAAAAAGGACAAATGCTAGTCTGGGCTGCATTAATGTGAGCATCACTTCTGAACCATGTTACTCCTTTACTCAGCCCTGGCTAGGCTTCATCTTGAGTACTGTGTCCAGTTCTGGGCACCACAGTTTAAGAAAGATGCAGACAGGGAAGAACAACAAAGATTATGAGGAAATAGGAAACAAAGCTCCTTGAGGAGAGACTAAAAGAATGGGGCAGATTTAGTCTTGAGAAGAGAAGAGACAGGAGAGATATGATAGCATTCTTCAAGTACTTGAAGGCTAAGATCAATTCTTGATCATCCTGAGGTGCAGGATATGGAATAATGTGCTCCAGTTATAGGGAGTCAGATTCTGGCTGAACATAAGGGAAAAAATCCTGCTTGTCAGAGCAGTACAACAATGGAACCAACAACCTAAGGAGGCTGCAGGTTGTCCCACATGGGAGGCATTCAAGTTGCTGCTGGATAGCCATCTTTTAGGGATGCTTGCATTGAGCAGGGTGTTGGACCTGATGTCCTATTGGACCCTTCCAACCCTTACTTACCTAAGATTCTATCACAACTGGGGGTCACCTTGATAACAAAAATAGGATGGAAAATAGAGTAGCTTTGGAGCAGTAGGTCAGAGTACTGGGAAATGCTTAAAAAATCCTAAACCCTTTTTGAAGAGGATCTCAAGGAGGACCACCAAAGGAAGCTGTCAATCTACTAGGATCCTCCTTTACTTTTTTCAAATATGTTGCTAAAATCACTGTGTATGTACAGGGCTCACTGAGATACACAATTCAAAGCATGGCCATTTTCACACATGGGCTGCACAAAGGCCAAAAAGAAGCATCAGTTTTCTCTGTTGCTTTGTGGTGCATGTTGGACATCGTCTACATAGCAAATAGGTTTAAAGCCATACCATACACAAAATCTAAGCAACTCCCCCTGCATCCTACTGGCAATGCTGCCATCAGCACATTAAAGGCTGATCTATTTATAAACAGTATTTTTATTATACCGCCCCAACCAAAAAGCTTACGAACAAGAAATAAGAAAGTCCCTGGCCACAGGCTAACAATCTAAAATACAAAGCATACAAAGAAAAAGAAATAAAGATGACAGGGGGAATAAATCAATCAATCAACATTTCGCAAGACGAATGGAATGGCCCTGCTTTACCTTCTCATCCTCTACAGTACCTGATGGAATGGTTGCTCCAAAGGACATTTGAGGATGGAAGAACCTTCATGATGTGGTCTTCAAGCCCTGCTGACAGAACGGCCCTGCTGCCCTTCCATTTCCCTGCCCCCCTTTCCTTGGCTGCTGCCTACAGGGCAGGGAAAAGGAAACCCTAAAATGGTGACATTACATGATGTATGTTTTTCGCCTACACTTAACTGGGGAGGCACAGAGCGTGTGGGAAGAGATATTGCTTAGCAGTGCCCAGACATGTTCCTGTAGACCATGGGTCCTCAAACTACGGCCTGGGGGCCGGACCCGGCCCGCCACGGCCATTTATCTGGCCCGCCATGCTCATTTGGACCCGCCGTGTGCACGCCTGCCACCGCCCACCTCACCCCGTGTGTGGGGAGGCAGCGGTTTGCTCGCTTGGAGAAAACGATCTCCAAGCGAGCAAGCCGCTGCCTCATGCGCCCACCTCATGGTGCCCGCCCGCCTGCACCTCCCTGTGTGCCCCATCCCCGCCTCAGCACGTGCACCTGCATACACCCCTGCCCCCATGCTGACACCACCTTTCCGGCCCGCGGCCAGCACCGGCACTTTTCAACTGGCCCCCTGGTGGAAAAGTTTGAGGATCCCTGCTGTAGACTATGACCTATAACCAGTTTAATAGTATTTCTCTAGGAACCATGAGACCTATATGTTTTGAGGGGGTGGGAACTATGCATTAATTTTTCTGCCGGAGATTCTTAGGGAGAATCCATGACAGTTAGACTATTTAAATCTGAAATGCATTTGTAGTGTAGATATACTTTTGCATACGCCACATCCTAGTTCTATAGAAGGACTTCTTTGAGACACGCAATTTGCATCCCGTACAACAAGCTGACAACAATTGTATGTTCACGGCAGTGATGAGTCAAGGTTTTGGAACAGCGCTTCATATTGGGAACCTGGGGGCAAATTCACTAATGTAATAAAGAGCATAAACAGCACTAGTTTATAGTAAATGTTACTATGTTGTAAGGAGTAATGACATAAAACAGCATGTAGACTTGAGGTATATGTGGTATGCAGAATATTCTTTGTATGCAAAAATCACTATATAGATCAAATAGTCAGAAGCAAAGGAGATTAGTACTGGAAATAAGAAAGGAAAACTTGGGCAACACTGTTGCAAAATCAATCAGTGCAAGTCAACTATAAGAGAGGCATATTATGTAGATTTCATCACCATACTTTAAAAACAGCAAAAATACACATACGCTTTTAAAAACTCAGTTAAAACATGAATCTTGAAGAACTAAGAGTCAATCTTATGCATATTTAAACAGAACAAAGTCCTACAACTTCCAGAAAGCCTCAGCCAGCATAAGAGTTGTAGTTTTTCTGAGTATGCATAGGATTGCATTAAGTGCCATTAAGCAACCCTATGAATAAATACCCTCCAGAGTGTCTTGTCACAATGGCCCTGCTGAGTTTTTGTAAACATCACATCTTAACTTATGTAGTTACACTTTTTTGACCAGCACAATTTGCTTGAATTTGGTACTTAGAAATGTTCTGCTCAGGAGATTTGAAGTATTTTCCCAGAATTACCACATGTGGATTACAAAAAGAAAGAAATAAAAAAGAGCAAATTTATGGAACAAGCTCTCCCTGTCTAGCATTTCATGGAAGTATAAATACTATTATTCAACCTGGAGTAAAATGGATTTTTATTTGCGTCACTTCAAAATGAAATAACCACATATGATTAATGTTTTTCAGGGGGCTTAACCCACAGTCATGATCAGCTTTGAAACAACAATTACTTCCACATTTTCTTCAGCAGCAACCTACTTTACTTCTATCCTGTTCTCCTAGCCACATCAGCAGCGATCAAAACACCTCGCTTTGCCTTTGCTCTGTCAAGCAGCCAGAAACATGCTTCTGCTGATAGCGATCAGAATCAATTGCGCACCTCATACCCAGTTTGAATAATAATTATAACTGCAGGCCCTGTGCCAAGATGAATCACTCACCAAATTCTCTTATGGTAAGTAAACAAGGATGCAAAATGCCTCCTTTCAAGTGCACTACAGGCTGCAGGAGAACAGCCATCCTCTCCTCTCTGTGGTGCCTTCATTTGAGAAATCACAGGTGAGCTAGGCCCAGTACACTGCCACTTCAGGGGCAATTGAACAGGATTGCCAGTTTGCAGCCCAAAGAAGATGTCTTGTTTACCCTGAAAGCAAATGCTGATGCTTGTTTTGCATGCCTCTGACACCACATCACTCTTGCCCTCCAGCACAACTGCTGTATCATGGAAACTTCCAGATCTACCAACAGTGTACAAGGAAAGGGGGCAGATAAGCAGTACCAGAGGAAAATGAGCAGAATCAGCCCTTGGCCTGCCCTTCTCCTGGCCAGCTGTAAGACACGCCCGACTCCTGATGTGGGGAGGGAGGCTGAGGGCATGGCCCAAGAAAGCCAGAGGTCTGCTGCCTCCAAACTCAGCAGCAAGTTTAAAGTCAAACAGGTAGTGCAACGTGACACTTCTAGATGTGAGAGACTGATGAAGTCCAAACCAATGAAGTGTCATTATGGAGCAACCAAACTACCGAGTGACCTGAACTAATGGCATGAACTACACCAACTTCCATTGGAACATTTGGTGGGTTCTCCATTGGGACACACCATAAAGGAAGATATAGGCCACTTAACTAAGTATGTGGATATATAGGAAGGTCTTACTTTAACATATACTCTACTTATCACAGAGGTTTGGAAGAGAGCTCTACAATTTGGACCCATGTTGCTTATAATACAAAATAGCCTGCGCTCTCCACTAGTTTGGCTGCTGATGACGAACCCCCAGAGCTTTGCCACTGGCACTCTGAGCTGCCTAGGGTTCCCCTACATGTAGTCAAGCATGTTGAGCTGCGTGCTTCAACGCAGGGCTTGCTCAGTCTGCAGCCTCCCATGTATGGCAGCCTACCAAGGGGCTCGATCAGCCCCTGAGCTCTGACGAGTGCCTGGGCCAGCCAAACCAAGGGGGCTGTCAAGCCCTGGGAAGGCATGCAGGCTCTAACAGAACCTGCTGGCAGGCTGGGGTGGGGGGTCGCAAGTGATGTAGGCTTGTTTAGGTAAACAAGCAAGCCAGCCTGTTTAGCCTTGGGTAAATAACACTGCACCCCATCCATAAAGAAGCAACATGCGACATTACTCAGCAACCCGCTACCTTCTCCTCTGATCGCCTCGGCTTCACAAGTGCCAGCGCTTCTACCTTGCAAACCACACCCTGGCTCCACTCAGCTTATCTTACAAGTCATCTCTGAATAACACAGCTCTGTGGGGGTTGCTTTTGTTTTGTTTTACTCTTCTTAAAAGGGAACACTTTTTGGGGCATTGATGCTTGTTTGATGTGGTTTGGAAAGAGAAATAAAATGTTTAGCTGGCCAATCAAGCAGACATGCGGCCAAAGCAAAACAAGGGCAGCAGAGGAGGCCCTGAAAAGTATAAACAAGGAAATAATAGGCCACCAAATAGTACTAAAACACTATGAATATTCAATAAACCAAATATACTTTTATTTACCTTTATATAGCAATTAGTTTAACCTAAAATATGCTTGTTCAGGAATATTCAGCATAGCTTTAGTTAAATGCATTCTTTTCATTGCACCAAGATAAATTATTGTTCTAACTATAAACATTGCATGGCTACCTTCTCTGCAAGGTATTTTATATTTCAACAACCACAACAGTGGAAGTTCCAGATGCCTTGCACTTCCAAGGGAAAATATACTTACATGAAGTCTGTATTCCTGGTAGCTGCTAATCAAGTCTTGAATGAAGGGATGTTTCAGAAGAAGTGCTATTTTGATGGGTTCTAATTCTTCAGAGCCAAGATCCTTATATACCTTAATGAAAGGCTTTAAAGGGGAATACAGATGGATTACAAAAAACAACACGGGTGTCTCATGCTCTTGCATGCTAGTATAGAAAGCAGAGATGGAGAATTATCACAGGGCCTGCTTTATTTTTCAGACAGTGGCCTGGATGATGAAATTATATTTTGGCACAACTCATTTCCCTCCACAGTGGTCAAGTTCTATACCAGGAGAGGCCAATTGTCGCCTTCCAGGTGTTTTGGCTTACAGCTCCCATCAGCCTCAATCAATATAGGGAATGGAGAGGGAACATGGGAGTTGGAGACCAACACACCTGGAGTGTCACCTATTGCTCAACCCTGTTCTATACAATACTTAGCAACTATGCAGCACATTTCAAGTATCCAGCACCTAACCATGTAGATAATAATGTGGAAACTCATCTGTTTTGAGTATACTAACTCAGCAATGCTGACAATAGCCCTGTAAAGTATAGTCATCTTGACTGGCTTGCCTGTGACATGGAATTCATTATTTTCCAACATACACCCTGAGCTACTAGGCTGTACCACCTCTCACATAACACAGTCCACCTAGTAGTAAGAGCCTTACCATTGTGGAGGATTGGAGGTTAGGCCTTTTGGGACATTACATCCAGATTTGCAAGAGTAAGGGCACAATCCCACAGTAATACTATTAAGTCCAGGAGAGGCAGCAGAGGCAACCTTCGCCTCTGTGCTTTCCCATCCTGCATTTTTGTTAGTTGAGCTGCAGAATACCTGGTATTTGGGCCTTACCAATCTCGTTCCTTTCCCACCCCTAAATACCCCCTTTCCCCTTCTCTGGGGCCACATCTTTCAATGCTGATTGCAAGGGTTGTGTTATTTCTTGCCTTTTATTGCTACAGTTGACATAGTTTTATCACTTTTATTGTAGTTCATACCGGTGTGGTTTATTACATTTTATAAACTGCTTTGGTACTCTAAGATATGGGATGGTCTAAATATATTCACAATTTAAAAAATAATCAACTGCAGACTCTCCCTCAGCTTGCTATTGAGGGAAGATGAGGATGCTATTTTCCTTACAAGTAAAACCAAGAACAAAAACACTGTTGATCAGATAAAACTGCTTTGCCAGTGGGTTTCCGATTGGGCTTTCCTGATAAGAGATCCTGGAAATCTGTGTAAGGTTGTTCCATATCCAAACAGCTTTTCCATATCCGTCTGTCTAAGTTTTCCTAGCCCATTAATTAGCACAGAGTTCTCAGAATGGTTATAAAACAAAACCCTAGCAAACCAGTTTAAAGACAAGGAAAAAGCATCATAAAACATCTATAAATTTCCCCTTTCCCAAAGGTTATTTATTGATTTATTGAACTTCTCTAATGTCCAACTGCCAAAGTCCTGTGGGCAGTTTACAACAGCTCCTCAACAAGACCATGATGCAATTAGAAACAAACACAAAAGGTCCAATGATACAGAACTGAAAAGCAATTTAATAGGTAGTCTACAGAGGTACTCAATACAAAACAGACCTGTTAAAAACACCGGGCAGAGGTAACCCCACTAGATAACCTTGGATATTTTTAAATGCCTTGGTACAGGGGGCTGTTCTCACCTGGCACCACAGAATAACAGAATTGGCACTAGGTGGGTCTCACTGGGAAGATCGTTTCAAAGTCAGCAAGGGAGGGGAGGACAGAGAAGACTCTTCCTCTGGGACTCCCTCTGGGGTGGCACTCAGAGGAAGTCCTCCATTGCTGACCAGCTTGTACAGGCAAAGAGTGGATAGGGGGAGCATTCTACTGTGGTCCCAGACTATGTAAGGCCTTATAGGCTAAAGCAAGCACTCTAAATCCAGTTAATAAGCTTATGGGCTACCAGTGCAAGCAAGCTAGAATTGGTGTCCTGAGGACAGAACTTCTACTCCTGGTTATTAGTTTGGCTGCCACATTTTGCACAAGCTGCAGCTTCTGAACAATCTTCAAGGAGTGCCCCATGTCAAGTCTGTTGCAATAATCTGAGAGATTACCAAAGCTTCCATTAATGAAACTAAGCTATCTCTGTTCAGAAATGACCATAGCTATTTTTTGTCCAGATAAGTGGCCACCACCTATAGCTGCAACAAGGAACACCACCATGAATGCTGATATCATTCCAAATCAACAACCTAGGCTACCCCAACATCACATCTGGGACTGCCTCTGTCAACTCTGGTAGGGATGGGTTGCAGGGTGGGTGGCATACCAGCAGAATCCTCCAATCCATCCCCCTGGCCTAACACAAGATGCAAATGCTCCACAGCTAGAGGCAGACAACTCCAGAGACAGATGGAATTCTTGCAGACCAGAGCAAATCCACCACCGCTGGCCCTGAAATCTGCCTTGCTGCTGTACTAAATATGCTGGTGAGCACAACTGGGAGAGACTCCCTCCCAAGCCCATCCAGATCTTAGTTTTATAAGTCAGATCAGCTGCCTCATCCACTGTTACTTCAAAGATGGAGGTATTATTTTGCAATGAAGCAGCCTTTAAAAACAACATCTGGAGACCCAACAGCAGGCTGGTATGGCAACCGACAAATCCACAAATGCAAAAATGGCATAGGAAAATAACTGTGTTGGCTGTGTTGTCTTGGCTGTGTTCTTCTTACCTGGAGAGTCCTCCACCCAGTGCCACATCTCCTTCTACCAATCACTACGCAGTTTGGGTGCCCTACAGTCTCCCCAGCTGGATGTACATCCACATACTTAGGCCTATGAAAAGCCAGGCAGGTATATAACCAGAAACAAGTGAAGGAAAATGAGGGGTGTCCTCACTTTCATTGCATCCAAAAGGAACAGACCAAAGAGGTATTCTTCTCTCTTCCCCCGCCCCGGGGAGGGGGCAGTCTGCCACCCGGCAGCAGGCTTACTTATACATCTTCAGGCAGAGCACCATTAGTGAAGATTGGACTCACCTGGCCCTTGGCAATCCTGAAGCTACTCAGAGAGCTTTGACTATAATTAAGCAAACAAACAAATAAATCCCTTTCCCTGGTTTGTTTTGGAATCTTTATTTTTGGATCCCTTTTCCAAGTGGATCTTGGACTCTAGCATTGGGCTCTTGCTATACCAAAGTAGATAATGCACCCCTTCCAGTTCTGGCAGACAGAGAGCTGTGGCATAAATGCATCTCTTTAATAAGGGGCTTACTTAAATCAGTCCATTCTTAGAGCTGTACAGCTGCTAAAGTTTCTCTTTTCCATACATTTTAGAAATGCCTAATGGCAGCTTTCTTTTAGGAGGTAATAAGATGAATAAATCTTGTGATAGAAAATTCTTTGAAGTTTAAGGATATACAGGTTCTTTTGAATTATCCAACCTCCTCTTGCAATCTAAGGTAATGACAACATAAATGGATTTTCTGTGACAGCTAAAAGACTAATATTACAACACTGGAAGGCTAAACAGTCACCTGTTAGGTAATTAGGTATAATTAGGTATAACCTACAAATGGATAAACATATGGATATTTGGGGTGCCTTTGGTGAAATATATGCATAGCTATTAATATAATACTATGTTATGTTATATACTAAGATATAGGATTACACAACATAAATTATCCAGTGCTATGAATCTTCTTAACTACTGTTCAAACATTTTAGTTTTTCTTTCTTTTTGCTTCTTTTTATGGTATGGTTTGGGATTTTTGTATTGCACAATAAAGCAAATTATTGTTTTGATTTCTTTTTATTTTAATAAGTGAAATATTGCTTATGATAAGACTCTTGATAAGAGTAGTATGTAATATTAATTAAATCAGTAGAGGAACTATCAGCTAGTTAACCAACCTCGTAATTGTCCTTGGCTGTCAGATAACCACTAAATCTATGGTTGTCAGCAGCTTTGTTGGATTCATGCTGGAACACCCGGAGTAGTGTAGCTAGAGAAATATCTCCTTCATTGGTGAAAGACTGGGTGTCCTCTTCCCTTTCCTTTTCCTCTTTTTCCTTGTCTTTCTCTTCCTCTTCCTCTTCCCCTTCTTCAGCAGTCTCCTCTTCCTCCTGCTCATCATGCCCATCACTTGATATCAGCTGTTCAGCAGAGGAAGTAAACTGGGGAGGAAAGGCAGAAGAGATTGTAATGGCACACATACACTTGAGGGCTTGCCAGCAACCACCTGATCAGATAGGCTTGCTGCTACCACCAACCAGGAGACTTCGAATAGCTAGGGTGAGGCCAACATTTTTCCAAGTGCATGCTTTGCAGTGAGAATACCAGTTTGAGACATGCCATGTAGCCAGCAAAGGGGGAAACAAATCCCACAGAAAGGTGTGCATAAAACAGAAATACATATATAAATAAAATTTGCAGGTGCTGGAAGGAGGAGTGTCAGGAAAGTTCCAAGTGAATTCTGTTAGCGTGATTCTAGGCAATGGCTTCTGTTTCTGGGCATGTCATGAGTGGAGCCAGCTGGAGCCGGGGGTCAGACTAGATGGCCTGGGAGACCCCTTCGGACGTGCTCTGTTTCTATTGAAACAGTTTCTATGTTACTGCTCTCCAAGCTCAACATGCATAAAAGAGTACAATAAAATTAATGTAAGCTTCCAGAGTTCTGCCTTCCAAAAGGCTATTCAGTCCTGATGTGTTGTACCTGGAACTCTGAATTACTGAAGGGAGTGGGCAACATTTAAAGAGATAAACTTATCTTATTATTATAAGATAATCTTATAATGCCTCCTCCTGAGTATGTCTTAGAATACCAAAAGGTATTAATTTCTCTCCCACACTCTTAATTAGATCTTCACACACAACCTCATTGAAAGTACAAGAACTATTCAGAGTATGCCTAGACTTAGCTTTAAACTAATTAAACTGGCAACTAACCAAAAATTGCACTTTTGTGATCTTGCTGAGAAATCTAATGAGCCATGTTAGATTTTGCAGAACTAAGTTCCCTAGAAATTTTTGAAGAATGCCATGCTTGACACATTAGTCTGATAAGAAATATCTGGCAATATGGCCCTCCCCACCAAAGCATATGAAAAAGACATGCTTGATCAGACCAGGATCAAACCTAAGACCATATCTAAGTTCAGCTTTTGTTCACACAGTGGTTGGCCAGCTGTTTGTTTATCGACCATGGTATCCTTCTGGATAGGCTAGCTGCTAGTGCGATTGGGAGTTGGAGGCACCGCATTGCGGTGGTTCCGCTCCTATCTCAACAGCCGATTCCAGAAGGTGGTGCTGGGGGACTATGACTCTGCGCCATGGCAGTTATGCCATGGAGTTCCGCAGGGGTCCATTTTGTCCCCCTTGCTATTCAACATCTACATGAAACCGCTGGGAGAGGTCATCAGGAGGTGTGGGCTGCGGAACCATCAGTACGCTGATGATACCCAGCTCTACCTCTTGTTTTCCACCAAACCAGGTGAGGCAGTGGCTGTACTGAACCGGTGCCTGGCTGAGGTAATGGGCTGGATGAGGGCCAATAAACTGAAGCTCAATCCAGATAAGACGGAGGTCCTGTTGGTGGGTGGTTCAGGCTTCGGGATGGGGGACTTGGGCCTTGTCCTAAATGGGGTTGCACTCCCTCTGAGGGACAGGGTTCACAGCTTGGGAGTGCTCCTCGACCCTGAGCTGTCACTAGAAGCTCAGGTGACGGCAGAGGCCGGAGCACCTTCCTTCAGCTTCGGCTGATCCATCAGCTGCGTCCCTTCCTGGAGAACGACTGCCTGGCGACAGTGACACACGCGTTGGTAACTTCCCGATTAGACTTCTGTAACGCGCTCTACGTGGGGCTACCCTTGAAGATGGTCCGGATACTTCAATTGGTGCAGAATAGAGCTGCCAGGTTGCTGATGGGGACTGGGTGTTGTTCTCATATAACCCCAGTTCTCCGTCAGCTTCACTGGCTCCCGATTGAAGTCCGGGCCCAATTCAAGGTGTTGGTTATGACCTATAAAGCCCTCAACGGCTTGGGACCTGGCTATCTAAAGGAACGCTTGCGTCCATATATGCCCTCCCACACCTTGAGTTCAGCAGCAGAGGCCCTTCTCCGGGAACCCTCCGTGAATGATATTAGGAGGGTGAGTACCCGGAGAAGGGCCTTGTCTGCGGTGGCACCCCACCTATGGAATGCGCTCCCCAGAGAGGTCCGCCTGGCGCCGTCGTTATTTGTTTCTCGGCGCCAGGTGAAGACCTTTTTATTTAAAACTTATTTTAATTGTTAATTTATTATGTATTTATAGGTTTTAAATTTTTAAGCCGAGATGTTACCAGGTTTTTAAAATTTTTAATTGTATTAATTTGTTATTTATATGTTTTAATTATGGTGTGAGCCGCCCTGAGGCTTTGTTGCAATGGGGGTGGCATAGAAATGTTTTAAATAAATAAACAAATAAACAAGCGGCACTTGAGTGCAATGACGCCCTCTTACTTGTGCTCCCCAGATAGTGGCATACACAAGCATATTGGAGCCACTGAACGCCTTCTCCTCCACCAATTTGTCTAATCCCTTTACAAAGCCATTCAAACTGGTGACCAGCACTAGGGCGGGCAGTAGCAAATTCCACAGTTCAGCTATCTGACGGGTGAATTGGGGCTTCCTTTGATCTGATGTCAGACTGGGTCATAGGACTGAACTCCAATTTTGTCAAATTATTTTTCCACCTTTCATCTAATAGAGATGTAGCATGATTTCAGTATGAATGCAAGAAAAGGAAAAACAAATGAAGATAGGAATGTGACAATTATAGCCAGTAATTTAGCAGGCTGCACATAAGTAATCCCACTAGCACACTGAGCAGGAAACAAGTAAATGGGCATAGGGCTTACAAAACAGAAGATTATGATTGAACAAAAGCAGTGATGCCGAACAGCTGGAGAGGAGGAACAAAGCAGCAGGGAAGAGCACAGGGGCAGCATGGCCGGAGGCTGAGGGCTACAACAGCCTATAGATCATGGGCTGCACACCCCTGCCTTATGGAATAAGATTCTCATTTGCCTTCAGCTGAGCAACACTAAGTTATTCGCAGCATTATCAACAACATTTTTACCACTTGAGGAACAGGAGGGTGTTTCTCTTTCATCCTGTGGATATATGTTCTGGTGGCAACACTAAGAGCCCGATAGACACCATCAACAGAATCAGGGTGTGAGGCAAAATAGAGGAGCATCTCAGTATAGTTCAGCTGTGGAGGATCTTTTTCAGGATCGGCAAACAAAGTGAATAAAAACTGTAACACAAAACAGGCTTCAGTTAACTGATGTACAGGCCCTTTTAATGTATTCTTGTTTTTGCGAGCCATCCAGATAGTCTGTGGGCTATGGGGCAGCATACAAGTGTCACAAACAAACAAACAAACAAACAAACAAACAAATAGACTATCACTGAGCAAAATCCATCCAAATATGGATGTAGCTACAGACCTGCTCCACAAGTTACTTTTTCAGCCACGGGGCCCTGGAGGAAGTGCATGTTTTGTAATGCATATATGGTGACTTCCACTGATTCTGCTTGGGGAAATGTTCCCATTTCATACCCTTTGGTTATTTTCATATTATACTCTCTCCTCAGTTACAGAGGGCAACATGATTGCAATTACATCCACAATGACTTCAGAATAACTCCTGGAATATATGCAAATTCTGGTAAAGATGTCAAGAACATATGAAAATTTCTGCTCATTTAGTTGGACTCTCTTGTGCATGTATTGTGGCCTCCTTATCAATCACTCATGCGGTACAGAATTGCGTGATGAATATATTTTCTCCCAGCAAAGCACCACTTTCTCGAGCTTTCCACTAAATTAGTTGGGAATGATATCCAGGAAAGCAAGCTTAGGAGCAGCATGTAAAAGTGTAAATGTAAGTGTAAATCAAACTGTTCCCAGTAATCCTATTTATTGCTGCCATTACTATTACCCAATGGCTGAAGCTCTCTGGGTGGCTCAAAACAATTTCTCAAGGTACAACAATAAAAATGAATACAATAAATATGCAGATATAATACAACATAGTGTAAAATACCCATGTATAAAATTTAAAACAGTTTAAACATTTAAAACAATTCCAACAAAACGAGGACTGATTAAAAACATAATAAATGAATACTGAATTGTGTTTTGACTTGTAGAGCAAGCCAGCAACTGACTTTTCTGGAACCAACTAAGGGTGCCATTCTCAGCATGTTTCAACAAAAAAAGTCTTAACTCCCAACATTCCACAGCCAGCATGGATGACTGGGAATTGCTGGAGTTTCCCCTGTCTAAATATGCACAGAAGTGTGCCTCAAAGCTAATAGATTTACAAACTAAACAAAAAACAGCACCCTTGATTTCCAAATTCTTCAGCAGCAACCTTAAATGCTTCAGATATAATACAATACAGACATTCTTGAATCTACTGACTTTAGTGTGCCCAGTTCTGTCCTAGGTTATGAATGTTTATGCTTACTCTTATAAGATGCTCTTGACGATTAAATGGTAAAGGTTCTGTAGGACTTTCTGGAATGACCAAATCTTCACTTCCTTTAAACCACAGACCAACCTGCAAACAACAAGTGTTTAGTCTTTCTGATCTTGTTTGTATCTCTCCATGTTTTCTAGCTTATGGACACTTTAAGAACATAGAAATATGACAAAAACTCCCTGCTGGAGCAGGTCAAACACAGCATCCTGTTCATCTGATCCCTGGTATCTTTGGGGATTCCACTGGCAGGGCTTGAAGGTAGTTGGAACAGGTTGGTTTCAGATCCTGTTTGTAGTCAGAGATTAAACCTGTTTCCAGTCTTGTAACAAAAAGTTTCAGTTTAAAAAACACAGCATTTTGTATTATGGCCAAATGTGTTAGATTTATGTATTAAATTTATATCCTACATTTTTTTTCACAAAGAACCCAAAGTGCCTTACATCATTCTTCTGCTCCTGCTCTCAGTCTTATCCCCACAACAACCTTGTGAGGTAGGTTGGGTTGAGAGTCTGTGACTGGCCCTCAGTTGGCTCCATGGCTGAGCAGGAACTAGAACCCAGGTCCCCTGAGTCCCAGTCCCATGCTCTTAATCACTACACCAGAATGGCTCTCAAACAATCAAACAAAGAGGGACCAATAAGTTTTTGGTCACTGCACAGTACTTTTATATATTCTGTTAGGAATTTTTCAATTCTGTTGTATTATTCTATGTATAAACTTTTCCATTTTCCAGTAATCTTACCAGGTTTTGTTCTGGCTTTTTAATACTGAATATTTGCATTATGATATATAAGAGGGAGGAGGAAGAAAAGGGAGAAGGGAGCACAAGGGCACAACACTCAGTCTTCACCTAATAAAGCATGACAACTCTAATTACTTAGGTTTTGTAATGTCTAAACCCGGCCATTGTGTTTCTCTAAATCCTCAAAAGTGGCTCAAGATTTCAGATCATTACCACCTCTTTTCTTCTATCTGCCTCCTTGAAACCTGGTTTAGTCAGATTAAAACTGATCTCCAATAACTTAGGAACTGCTTAACTCATGCTGACGTCATCCATGTGCAGGCAGGAAGAACCAACAGAGCGTTAAGCTGCTGGTTGACAGGAGGAGGGCAGCCCTGTTTTGCATTGGTGGGGGGCAGATGAGAGGAAGCCAAAGTGTAAAGTACTTGTGCAGGGAACTCTGGCACTCATGTCTGAGAGGCCAGCCTAGGTGGCTGTACTTCCAAGTCCCTACCAGCATGTTCTCAGCATAGGCAGAAAGAGGCAACCGGGTAGACCAACAGGAGGGAAGAGAAATGTCATAATAATCAGGGATGCTGAAAACTTTGGGAAAGTTGGAGTCAGTGCTACTGATATTTCTGAGGCCACTAAAGTGCCTTCCACTCTCAAGAGTGCATAGATGAACTAACACTGCCTCTGCAGGGACAGTGTCTAAAGGACACCTGCCACTTAAGGACAATTTCTAAACATCCACGCTAATGCATGTTTGCCCTGTCAGGCTATAAACAGAAACCAGGCAGCCAGAAATGTCAGGAATATAACCAAAGGGGAGCTAAGGAATCTGAGGGGCACCCGTAAATCCTACTTTTGGGGCAGACACAATGTCTGTCATATGACAAGGGAAGCGGGACCAAGGAACAAACTTGTCCTAAGCCCAGATACATTAGGCTTTCTTGTCTGTGCAGACAAGAGTGCTAGTAGAAGGTGGTAGGAATAGATTCAGTTTTGCCTGCTGTGTGCATATTCATTCCACCATTGTCTTTGTGCACAGGCTTGACAGAAACTTGTCATGCTTCAACTGCTTTGACCAAAGAGATGAGTGCATGCACCACAGGAAAAGATGCATCTGCCATATCAATTTCAGCTCTGTGAAAACCAAAAACAAAACTACTGTTTGTCTCCAACATCCATTTCTTTCATTGTGCAATTGACCTCAAAACTACCTGTGTTAGAAGGATACTTTGCAAATCTGTAGAACATACTTAGAAAACTCCAATCCTGGCCTACATTTGCTGTATAAGGATTTATTTAAAGAAGCTTGCTAGCTTCATCTGGGAGTGTCACAACCTTATCCAGAACCCTAGAAGTTAACTACTTAACCCAGGTGAGATTATTTGGTATTGTTGGCCTCAGAGGCATTTCGCCTGGGAATAAATACATTATTTGGCATTTTATCTAAGGGTGTCACTTCGCTAGCACAAAGCTTTTATTGGAGAAAACCCTGTTTGTATTCTGGCACAACTATTCTGATTCTGTTCACACAGCCCATGCAAACTGTTGCACAAGTATTCTGACCCAGTTTGAACAATGCATGCAAGCTGTTGCACAAATTGTTGTGAAAGTACAAGTCATTACACAACCTTTCCCACAAATCACTGTGCAAGATCTTGCATTACAAAAGCTGTTGTGTAAATCATTGCACAAGGCATTGCACAACTCAAGAGTTTCTTACAGGTGTTGTTTTTATTAGTTATGCAACTTCTGATAGTTATTGGGCAATTGCTAGCAGAACAACACCAATTCTTGCAATTTTTCTGCTAATATATGGATACAACCAGAAACAGCGCCCGAAGCACTTAGTCCAATGAAGTTGAAATGAGTTGCATAATACGTGAATTTGCAGAACAGCTTGTGCAACACCCTGTGAAACAAATTGTGCAACAGTTTGCACAATGGCATGTGCACCAGCTTGTAGAAGAGTCTGTACAAGCAGAAAAAAAGGAAATGCATTTGGCACTTGCACAAGGATAAAAACAGGGTTTTTCACAATTGATAGAAACTGTGTTCTAACTTAAAGCCACTGTTGGATACAACCCTATGAGTGGAATTTGTTTCTTCTGTGTTTGCTCAAAAACAACACACACAGTCAGATGTTGCTCAGATTTACCAGCCCAATTATCAGCTACAGAACCTGAAAAAAAAGTTCTACACTATTTCCTGTGTTGACTCTGGAGTTGTTGGTATGTTTTTAATCTCAACCCATGCTATGCAAAATACCGCAACACTGTGTGGGTGGGTGTATAATTGAGAGCTGCATCTCTTTGTGGTTTTTCCATTCCTAGTGGGTATTGTTTCTTTTCCTTCTTTTGGTTACACGAGTTGCCACAAATTGGGGCTTGTTTCTTTCCCTTTTTCTAATGATATATGTAATGGCATGGTATAGCTTAATAAACAAGAGGTTTAATACAGATGTCATGTGATTATGGGAAAGTCTTGCTATTTGATAAGGATCCTGACCTGTCCCACATTTTAGAATGTATAGCAGCACAAAAGCAAAAACACTTTCTTTAATACTGACAACATTTAAATGGTAGTAGAAAACCTTCACAGATTCATAGAATAGTAGATTTGGAAGGGGCCAGAGGGCCAGAACGTCTAATCCTATGCTCAGTGCAGGATTTTAAGTTAAATTATCCATTTCAGATGGCTGTCCAGCTGCATTTTGAATGCCTCTAGTCTGAGAGAGCTGACAAGCTCCTTGGGTTTGTTAGAGCAATATGACAATCAGCAAGTTCTTCCTGATGTCCAGACAGAATCTGGTTACCTGTAATTCGAGTGCATTATTCTGTGTCTTGCATTCTGAAATGCAAGGACCTCTGAAGAGGTCCTGGCTCTCCCCGGTGTGACAGCCTTTCAGGTATTTGAAAAGTGCTATCCTATCTCCTCTCAGTCTTTTCTTCTCAAGGCTAAGTATGTCCAGTTCTTCAATCTCCCTTCACAGGATTTTGTTTCCAGTCCCCTGGTTTTCTTAAACTTAAGAAACAGTTCTTTGTTAAACTGTGCCCAGAACTGGATGCAGTACTCAAGATGAGGCCTAACCAGTGCTGCGTAAAGAGGAACTACTACTTTATAATACTTCTGTTAATGCAGCCCCAAATAGCATTTGCCTTTTTTTGCAGCTACATCACATCATTGGCTCATATTCAGCTTGTGAGCTACAATAATCCCAAGATTCTTGTATCGCTGAGTCATGTATCCCCCATCTTGTAACCGTGTATTTACTTCTCTTTTCCTAGATGTAGAACTTGGCATTTGTCCTTACTGAATTTCTTTCTGTTACTTTCAGCCCAGTGCTCCAACCTAACAACATCACTTTGAATTTTGTTTCTGTCTCCCAGGGTATTAGCTATTCCATCCATCTTTGTGTGATCTGCAAATTTGATCAGCATTCCCTGTACCTTTTTGTCCAAGTCATTAATAAAATTGTTGAAGAGCACTGTGCCCAGGACTGAGCCTTGTGGTAACGAGCCTTGTGCTCATTACCTCTCCCCAGTCTGAGAAAGTGCCATTGAAAAGCACTCTTTGAATCTGATTTTGTAGCCCACTGTGGATCCACCTGATAGCTGTTCCATTTAGCCCACATTTAGCTAGTTCGCTCATCAGGATATCATGGGGCATTTTGTCAAAGGCTTTGCTGAAGTCAAGGTATATTATGTCCACAGAATTCCCACAGTCCACAAGGGATGTTACTCAATCAAAAATCGAGATCAGATTAGTCTGACAAGATCTGTAATTACTACTTTGTAAGTCAGTTATTGTCTAGGCTCACAGTCTGGGCAGGTAAACATCTAGAATTATGCACATATTGCAGTGGGACACAACACAATTGGTGGATGTGATGACCTACATACTAAAAAATATTTTATGCTGTGTTAGCTAGAAGTCCTGGAGACCGGCAGTCTGCCATTACACTGATAGGGCATTACGGTGCATAGGTGTCATTGCCCAGGCACCAGATGTGTCTGCACCAGAGAAAGAGTCCTGGGCATCAGGAATCCTAAAACAGGGAAAGATGCTCAAACTGATCCATCACAAGAACCAGTCACTGAGGAACCCTCTCCTGTAGACCCCTCTACAGAAAATGAGCAGAGAGGACCCTTGAGGAATGTATTCTCCCCATCATGGTCCCTGGAAATGCCTCTCTACCAACATGGTTGGATATTAATGAGACCTATCCAGACATTCCACTGATTCTTACCATTCCACCGCCTCTCTGGCCCCACGTATGTCAGGAGACCAATGAGCATAATGCAGCAGATACTTCAGAGGACTGATAAGTAGCTTCATAACAGAAGGTTGTCATATAACGTGAAAGCTGATCTCAGCCAAGGAAGCAAGCTGAAGAACACATCTTCCTGCAGTTAGCATGTCATCCCTCCATAGGCTGGAACAAGATTCCAGATTTCCATCTTTCTGGACCATTTATCACTCTTATATTTGCTAATTTTAGGCCAGTTTTCAGTATACAACCTCCAGGGCAGTGTACAATCAATCATAATATTACAATGAAAAGCTTAAGTGGCTTAGTGTACAATCAACATTAACAACATTTCAGTGAAAAACTTAATAGTAAAGACAAAAGCTTAGGAAAAGCAGCCATAAAAACAGCTCAACCCAGAATGCACACCTGAAATACTGTAGCAGGGGATAAACCTGCCAAGTAACAAAAAGACAAGCAGAGTGCCAGGTGAACTTACCTGGACTAAGTATTCCTCACACAGTGTCTGATCACTCCAGTGTCCCTCTTTTTGGTTACCACCTGTTTGAACTCATATGGTTGGAAGCTCCATAAGAGGGCATTGGATGTGGAAGAAGGTGAGTGCATGGCCCAACACTTCCAGTTTTGTTTTTAAAGGCACAATTCTATGCACATCTAGACAGAAGAAAGCCTACAGCTCCCAACATTCCCCACCATGGCTGGCTGGGAGTTGGAAGGCTTTTTTCAGACTAAAAGTATTATTGTGTTTTTATTTTTATTTGGCGGTTTTTATGTTGACATACATTTGTAAAAATTTGATATTTTATCATGTTGTATTTTAAGGATTCAACAGCTTTGGCTATTGGGTGTTCTAGAAGTGGCATAACTAAATAGGCGCAAGTTGTGTTCCTTCTAGGCAATCCCTGTTTGCAGCCCGGTAAGTACATTCCAAACTGACTGAAATGACTAAAAAGAGTTCACAAGGCAGCCCCACGTAGAATGTGACTTAGGCCTCCTTGTTTACTCTTAGTTGCCTCCAGCACCAGCTTGTCAGTTTGAAGTTGTGTGCTGATTTCATGATCTTAGATTCCTGACCAACATCTTGTGGAGGCCAATGACTTATGGATCAACAACAAAAAGAGGAACCATATCACCCAAAAGGGGTTTTGCATAAAATCTGCATACGTTATGAGGAAATGAAAAAATACATATTCAGTATTATATTCACATGCAATTACAATGTGTCTCACCACTGCAACTAAGTGACCCAGGTTCCTACTTTTCTTGGCACTAACTGAACATAAGTTCTTACGATTTATTTTCTTAAAACTAAAATTGGACAGCAAAATCCTTCAAATAAAGGCTGGTCCTCTAGCAGCCTTTCAAATGAAGGACTGTCCTTTGTTAAAAAAAAAAAAAAAGTGAGTCCTCCTGCTCTTCACAAGTCTGCCTTGTGACCAGTGGGCCCATCCGCCATCACTGTAGCTATGTATCAAGACCTGCAGGCAGACTTGCCAGACACCCAAGAGGTCAGGGGGTCCCTACAGAGGCAAGTGGGGACAAAATGCCCAAGTCATATTTGCTTTTTTTCCTTTCAAGGGCAAGCTCCCTCTCCAAAAAGAGCATGCAGCCTCGGACTGCAGAGCATGGCAGATGGTGCAAGCACCCAGCTAAGCAACACAGGTGCAAGAGCAGGAGGGTGTCCTCAGGCACCCTCACCTCCCGGAGGACCCTTTAGGCTGGACAGGGGGCCTCTCCTCAAGTGAAAACTCCTTGCGAGGGATGCAGAAATTAGCCTTTAGGGTGAGTTATACTGCAACATCATGTTGGGGGAGGAAGACCCCCTTCCCCCCATGGAGAAAAGCACACTCGATCGTCCCTTATTACTGAGTTGTCAAAATGTCAGGTGCTCTCCAGAACTCTACCCCAACCACTTTGTGGTTGGCTCCTGAAGGAAGGGTGGAGGCACTGCAAGTGAATGTGAAACCTAAAACATGTTTTTGCGATTTGAGGTTATTTAATTTATTACATATTTTGAATAAAAAGTGCAGTGGGGTTTTGCTTTCATTTTTCTCTCCTTCCCTCCCTCCCGCCTGCACACACACACACAAAACCATAAAACACTTTTGCAATACAATCCTATGCCTGTTTACTTGGAAGTAAGTCTCACTGCATTCTGTAAGGATTACTCATAAGTCAGTGCAAATAAGATTGCCACTCCAAAATGTAGCAACTTGTTTTCCCTTTCCCTTTTCTTTTTTCCCTTGTTTGGTAAAGGACGGGTTGTAGTTAAAAGTTGTGGGGAGACTGCGTTAGCCAAAATAAAACAAAAATGCCAACAGTTTAGGTTCATGGCCACTGGATGTGAGTGAATGAAGACTGGCTGGCTACTTGCTTCGTTCCTTTCCATAAGATTCACCATCACAAAGACCCAAACTCGGAAGAAGGAAAAGTGCAACCTGCTCATATTCTTCCTGAGTAACAAAGCCAGATCCATTTCTATCCGCATCCTGGAACCTCTGCAGTGTTTCAAGCAACTCCATCACTGAGGGCATCGGCCAAGGCTGGGAAGCCGCTAGTAAGAACCGTCGCCAGTCCACAATGTCTGTATTCACCATTAGCAGGGATGCCAGGTTTTGTAACTGCAACACAACAACGCAGATATCCAGATGAACAGTCAAACGGCCTTCCCTAATGCCGAACTATAACGTAACATCCAATACTTCTGGACAGAACCAGATGTGAGGAGTCTGGTGAAATGGTGCACAATAGTTAGGGGCAGGATTATTTTACAGAATTACTAAGGAATTAATTAGGAAGCAGCAGCCCTAGGCAGATTAGAGAAGAAGACCAGGGATTTTTCAGTCCCAAGGGAAATTCGGTTTCAGAGAAGCCCATGGTGGGCACATTCGAATGTTGGTTGAAGTGAAATGCAAATGGAGCAGTGCCCCAAATATCAGCATGTGTCACTTGAATAGGGAGTTGAGCAAAATATGCCACCAGTAACTAAGAGGCATTTCATTGTTCTTGGTGGGGAAAACTGCATGAAAGGTGTGACACCAAATGGGGTTTAGTGAAAAGAGGGTGGGACCAGGGAAGGGGCTATAAATATACACAGAAAAATGGAGAGACAGGCAGACTATGGCTTCACTGACAGTGATACCAACATGAGTAAAGTATAGACTCACAGAATGATAGTAGAGTTGGAAGGGGCCATGAAGGCCATCGGGTCCAACCCCCTGCTTTTTCAGGACACCACGTTACACCATTCTACTCAGATGACTGTCCAGTTTCTCCTTGAATGGCTCTGGTTTGGGAGAGCCCATGACCTCTCCAGGCAACTGGTTAGGTTTAGGGTTAGGGTCATTAAGTTACACCATTTCTCTGACAGTAAGGAAACTGTTTCTGATATCTAACCTAAATCTGGGTTGTCACAACTTGAATTGATTATTCTGTGTCCTACACTCTGGCATCACAAGAAAAGATCTTGCCCTTCCTCTTTGTGACAACCTTTGTACTCATAGAGTGATAACATGAGAGAACTGGGCATGTTCAGCCTTAAGAAGAGAAGACTGAGGGGGGACATGATATTCCTCTATATGTACCTCAAAGGCTGTCACAAAGAGGAAGGTCAAGATCTCTTCTTGCTGATGCCAGAGTGTAGGACACAGAATAATCAAATCAAGTTGTGATGACCCAGATTCAGGCTGGACATCAGGAAAAGCTTCCTCACTGGCAGAGCAAAACAACAGTGGAACCAGCTGCCTAGAGAGGTGGTGGGCTCTGCCACACTAGAGGCATTCAAAAAGAAACTGGACAGTCATCTGAATGGGATGGTGTAACAAGCAGATGGGTTGGACCTGATGGCCTTCATGGCCCCTTCCAACTCTATTATTCTATGATTCTATGAAGACTAAACAAGAAGCCACACTTTTGTTTAAAAGCCACAGTTCAACCTTGGGAGTATTCCTGGAAACATCTTATCTTCCCTATCTGCATCCTTCTTTTTGGAGCTATAATTGCCTGAGCTTACAGGGATATTCTGTGCATACACTATGCACCAAACTGGATTTTAATCTTACTGGACTTTATTGGTAGGGTCCATGATAAGGGCTGTTGCATGCTGTACGGATGACACATTCTCAGGGCTATGGATTATATCCTTCTGGCATGGGCATCAAACTGGCTAAGGGATTATCTGAGCCCTTAGAGCACAGAGATTCCAAAATGTGTGTGTGGAGGGCTTGGTGTCAAGATCTTTGCATGTGGGAGAAACACTTGCCTGCATGTCTGATCTTGTTTTGGCCTTTAAGAGTCACATCACACAGAGCGTCCAACACAGTTGGCAAAGCTACCATGGCTCTCTGTGTCTGTGTGTGTGTGTGTGTGTGTGCGCGTGTGTGTGTGTGTGTATGAGGGAGCGGGGTGCAAATTGGTTCCTGTCCTCCTCTAAAATCCCTTCCCTTGCATCAGAACCTACAGCCAGGACTCACATCACACAGAGGCTTCAACTCAGACAGCAAAGCTGGCTCTGTCCTCTGTGGGAATGTGTGAATAAACTCACTCCTTTTGCTAGGCTCACTTCCTTTGCCCCAAGAGCATCAGGGAGTTGCTTAGATTCTTTGCTTGAACCCTGGTTCTGGAATATCTGAAGGAGACATTTGCATCCCTTTCTTCATGCAAGATGTCTAGATGATCATCCCCAAAAAACATCTGAATCCCTTCCCCTGACTGGAATGTCCAAAGAAGACATGTGAGGTCCTCTTCTGCTTGCCAAATGTCTAGGAAGATTATCACTGAAACCCTTTCTAGACTACCTATGACAGTAGAAGTTTAGATATTAGACTGAAGTGAAAGTACTTTGGCCTACTGCCAAATAATGCTGGTTGCATGATTTCTGAAGAATATAACCATTAAATTTATGCTGTGGAATTTACAGCAATAAAGCAACCTTACTAATTTAGGGTCTTCTGTGTCAGAATGCCGGAATGTGTGCGGATTGGAGACTGAAACAAGGCCTATACATTTTTAAATCAGCAAATTAATAATACCAACATCATAAATGGAGAGGTGCATCCAGGAATCAGGAAGCAAGTTTGAGCCAAGATTCAAAGTAATCAAGTCATAAAGAAGATCAATGAATGTTTTGCTTGGTATTAAACCTAGGTAAAGAACAAGAGAAAAGAAAAAAATGATATCATGATGTAACTCATATTACAGGAAAAAAACTATTATATTTTCACTTCCTGGTATTGCTCCAGTTTTTGTTTCCTAATTCTTGCATGGTACTTGTAATTTAGATATAGCTCTACATAGCTTTATGTTTTCAAATAAAATGCATGTCATATATATTCAACAATCAACCATAGTCTAAAGACACTGACAGTCTGATCCCAATCATGTTAATTCAGGAATAAGTGTTTAATGATGTTTGCTTCCTAGCTTAATCTTTAGGGCTGTAACATTAATGTGATCTTGAACAAATCAGGCATGTGATTGTACCAACTGAGTTTAGTCTGCTGCCCTTCTAAGATAAACAGGCTGTTCTTCTTATTTCATTCTATCCCCTTCCTTTGTTCTCCTTTTTCATCTGATCTCTCCCAGGTACTTGAATACAAAGAACCTGTGTGGAATAGAATAATTTTAAAAAGCAGATCCTATGCACACTTACTTGAGAGTAGGCCAGATTTAATATATTACTACTTCTAAGTAGATACACACAGGATTGAGTTACTGGTATGGATGTTTCTTATGGATATTTGACACAATCCTGGAGCTGCAAAAAGCAAAGGCCTGGAAAAGGTGAGTCACCAGCCCTGTTTCTGAAGTCTGCAGTATTCTGTACTTGGGGTACATAGGCGGATCGGTCCTAGGAGAACTCAGGGCAGAAGAACCACCCAAGAGGCTTGTGCTGACTTGAGTGAGAAGTAGGAGGAAAGAAGCCTTTTTTCGTTATTGTTTGGTTGGGGCTTTTTCATTCCCCTCTCATTGCTTCCATTGGGAGAAAAATGCAGCTCCAGGACTGGTGCAGTTTTGTGGCTCATATTGAGGGAGCAGGAAGGATTTGGACACAGTGGAAATCTGGCCCACTGTGCCTCCCTTTCTGCCCACACCACCGTGAGAGCCTCAAGGGTGCAGAAGGGATAGCGAAATAGCTTTCTGCCACCCCAATGAAGTCTCTGATATCAGACTGCCTCCTCCAAGCACAGATATGGGGAAGCCTACCATATCCTAGGGTTCTTGCAGCACCTGCTCAGGAACCATAGACCTGTGCCCTAAGTCCCCATATAGATGAACACGTTTAACAAGGAATGACTTGTGCCATGACCCCTAGCCTTGGGCCTTCCAGTATGTAGAAAATTCTGGTAATGTACAGGCTACTTTCTTGGGTGATGGACTGTCAGTGGTCAGGGCAGAATCACCATCTCCTCCGTGTTGCAGAAGGCTCAGGTTACAAAATCGGGTAAGGGCCCTTTAAGAACTCAGCACATCAAAGGTATTGTCAGCCTCCTTAAGATTTAGTTGGCTTTAGCGTCTTCTGAGACAATGGGTGGGTTTGCCTTTCATGACAGCCTATCGTGGTACATTGCCTTTTCAGGTTACCCTAAAGTGCTAGGAAGCCACAATGAGCCGGACAGATGACTGGGCTCAACACGGTGGCTTCCTCCTCCTTCCCCTTCTTTCCTCCAGGCAGTATCCTGGGAGACACCATGGGGAGGAACAAATTTGACTGTAAAATAGTTACTGCTGTGCAAACAGGGTTATGCCCTGAAGCAGCAAAGAGGATGAGAGGACTGGTCAGGCACCCTAGCCTCCTGCTGCAGAAGAGACTCTGGAGCAGGGATGGGAGTGCCTGATCCACTCTCAGGCAAAAGGGAAGATCAGCCAGCTGGGTGGTGCTGCCCCAGTTGGAGTTGCACTGCTCAGCTGATTCCCCTGCTCCCGCCTGAGAGGCTTTCCCTAGAGTAGGAGCAGGAAGGGAGAACCTGGGCTGGAAAAGGATGCTCCCTTCTTAGTGGATCCCCCTAGCCCAGGTGCTCCTTCCCCATTTCAGCTGGAGAGCCAGCTGCTCAAGGAGGCTCAGACAAGGCTAGGCTGTGGTCAGCCAAGAATGGAACATCCAAGCCAAGCTCAGGTTTGCCCTTCACCAGTGTGGCTTGAGTGGCTTTCAGTCCTCTCTAGCAGCAGTAAAGAAGAGGGCAAGCCCACCCTGTCCAGCTTCCTTTTGGGAGAATAATGCTCTGGCAAGCTCTGGGTTGGGGAAGCCAGTGTGTTCAGATTTCATGACAAGCAACAATAAACAACCACTGTAGCATGTTGTGTCATGCAGTCCTAGTTAATATCTTCTTAGTGTCCTACAAGTAAAAGAGAGTTCCAGCCAGCAGGACCAGCTTGGAGCAATTCAAGAACCCACTTTCTTGCATCAATCTTGCTACCAACTTCCCCACAGAGCCTCAGGGGACTACAGAACTGGAAAAGTTACTTTTGGTGACACCACAGAATTAAGTGCGAAGTATTTTGTAGCAGAATAAGAATTTTTACCAAGGTCCCAGTGTAGGTTCCAGAGTTCAGATTTCTTAACCTAAATTACCTCACACAGTTGTTTTAAATATAAAATTGTTAGAGAAGGTAATCATGGTCCTCATCTTGAGGTTGTTGGAGAAACATTAATGTACAATAAACAAAGCTGTGGAGAGCTGATCTAATTGAGGTAAATTATCTTTGAAAAGTAGGTAGTACTTAAAAGTGTGAATCTTTAAAAGGAGCTACAAGTTATAAGTTGAGCAGTCAAAGTCACTATAAGTAAATGATAAAGTTTAATTCAGTTTTTCTTTGAGAGAGAGAGAGAGAGAGAGAGAGAGAGAGAGAGAGAGAGAGAGAGAGGCCCCACGCAGCACAGCTTATAGACTTAACAGACACATGCACAAGCCAACAGCTTATATAAATATAACTTCAGAGGAGAAATGACTGGCCTCTTCAATGATACACTTAAATCCATTTATGTTACTCAAAAGGGGGCATAGGTAATTAACTTGGTACACAATTTTATTCTGTTCAATATCACAGAACTGTAATGTTGCAAAAGTTGCCATCATTTGGGGCCAGTACAAGCATCTGGTCTATATTATAGAAATGCAGTTATGTTTAAACACTAGAACAGAAACCTGCCCATGCCATGTCAATAGCCATCTGTATATGACCAGGGGCCGAGTAGGCATCACATTTAATGAAATTTGCATTTAGCATATAGGGTTTGCCCATCCCACCACCATGCAAGTGGCATCAGCTGCCTACTGAGTTGCAATTGAAGACTAAGTTAAAAGTTTGGCTTATAATGGCCTGCACACGACTGCTTTGGTAAGTGTCAAGTGATGCACAGATCAACGGAGAGCTGTTGGGATCACAGGCAGTTTGGAGCAAGAGAGAAAATGTAGCCTCTGCTTCTTCTGCTGCAGAATTGACCAAAATCCCTCATCTGAAATGGCTCTTTGCATTAGGAGGAAATCCTCCACACTGATGCCAGCAGGGTTCTCCCCGCCACCCCAAATGAAAGAAGCAGCTTTAAAACTGATTTTCCTCCCAGGACTACAGCGTGGGAGAAAAAAGTTAAATTGTCCCAGCCCCATGTTTGCTTCTAACCTGGCAATTATCAATCCCCTTTCTCCTGCAGCTGTTGCTATCTGTACTGAAACCGAACCTGCTTGTTAAGTGCAAAGAAGCATTTAACATTGGCGTTAGGTTTGGTCTTTGGCTCAGCTTGCAGCATCGATGTGCCATGAATGGATCTACCCCATGCAACATCTGGCACTTACTGCAGCAGTCGCACATGTGCCTTGGCACATTATCAAGCATGCAGCTCAGCTCACATTCACAATGCAAGCAATTAACCCATTTTCCTTCATCAGAATTGTTGTAGTGAAGTGTATGCAAATAGGTGTCAGTACACTGCCAGAGGGTGTGTTGCTTCACATATACAATAACTTATTTGGCTGTGTGGACTGCCCCTCGGCAAGGATCAATTTATAAGACAGTAACGAATCATATTTGAAATGCTGATTGGTTTTCAAGTGCAAAAAAAAAAACAAAAAACCTTCTTTGAGAGGCAAAAATTACAACTGACAAAACAAGTTCATGTTACCACATGAAGTTTACAAAAGACTGAGGAAGATATAATGGAATATAATGTATTTCACTACAGTCCCTTGGCTATAGAACATGTGTGCACCCAAAGGGAAAAAAGTACTGGGGTCAACATTCCCTGTTCCAAAACTGCTGCCTTTCAAAGTGGAATATGTTGTGCATTGGGGAACCCATACAGGTTCTTGCCATCTTCTGAGCTTCCATTGTCAGGTAGTGAGTTGGGAGTCTGGTGAGTGCAGAGAGAGAAGGATTTTTGCCACTGTTGAGGCTAGCTAGCTTGCTTGTTTGTTGCCTTTGTAGACTGCCCCATAGCCAGAGGCTCTAGCTGATGTGCAGTGACTTCTTGTACCATGGCTACTTCTAGCAAGCTCCATTCCGTCAGCTAATAAGTCAATCCAACTATGCGTGCATTTGAAGGTAGCAAGGCTCTACATCTACAGTTGCAACAATCTAAAAGCATCAAGAAACTGGAGAAGATTGCATGGATTATGTGGTACCTTCTAGAGTCAGGTGTATTTAAGGTGTCTTATCCAGAGTGTACACAGGAGAGATCCTTGGTGCATAGGTAAGAGAGAGAGAGAGAGAGACAGTATCTTCAACTTGTTTTTATTCCTGAAACATTTCATTCTGCATGTGGCTTTCTTCACATTCCTGTAATTTCTGATGGATTAAAATATTCACAAAAGGCCCATTTCTTCATTTCTTCTATTATGGGTAGATGATTAAAACAATGTTTTGGGATGTCATCGACAGCTATGGTCTCTATAGCAGCTACTGGCACATGAAGATCTTTCCCAGCACTGGCAAACCAAAGCAAGCACTACACAGAACACTCAAACTAAGGAATGAGCACTATAAATCTTCAAACTGTTTTGGAATCCCAAGCAACTAAGATAGCCCAATGGATATAAAGGGTATTTACCAGCTGCTGCAGGAAACAACAAATTTCCGGAAGAATGAAAATCCACAGGAAATTAAACTAGTCAGTAAAAACAGTTAGAACAATTATTTAAACATGCAA